TCTTAACAGCGCCAAACGGAGGCGAAAACGTGCGCAAAACGTGCGCAAAACGTGTACAAAATTCCCGATCATGTCGAATTTCAGGGAGCTGCAGGAAAATTCGAAATTCGAAAATCGAGAGTCGGATAGACCGAAAATCGAACCGGCTTTTATGTTGGCGATTGGAACCGCAGCACCGAGGATCGAAAGTCAGAAATTATTATCTTGTTCGAGTGCCAAAATCCCGAGACAATGAAGTTTTGTCTAAGACACGCCGCGGTTATTTTCGTGACAATGAAAGAGCAGGCTGAAAATCCAACAAAGATTTCCCGAGGTTCATTTTCCTTGTACATAATTCTGTTCCATTCTCGGATAAGCAGTGAAGGAAAATTGCATTGTTCCCGAAGTCAACGCTAATGCATTCTTTTCGCAATAAAGGAATAAGGGGAAGGAGCGACCCTAGTGAACTTAACCTCAATGCATGTCCTTTTTTAACAATGGATGACACCTCGACACGACTTTTACGAATCACTCCCTCGAATCGTCCTGGACTTACTCCGAGCGAGAATGTCTGACAACCGTTTACAGGTTATTATTGGGATCGCGGTTATTTACATGACAATGAAAGAGCATCCTGAAAATCCACCAAAGATTCCTCTACGATTTCCCGAGGTTCATTTTCCTTGTACATAATTCTCTTCCATTCTCGGATAAGAAGTCAAGGAAAATTGCATTGTTCCTGAAATTAACGCTAATGCATTATTTTCGCAATAAAGGAATAAGGGGAAGGAGCGACCCTAGTGAACTTAACCCTTTGCGGACGAGACTTTTCCATTATAAAGGCTTTTGGGCGACTATTTGGCGACATTCGTCCACAAAGGGTTAACCCCAATGCATGTACTTTTTTAACAATACATGACACCTCGGTATTTGACTTTTACGAATCACTCCCACGAATCGTCCTGGACTTTCTCCGAGCGAGAATGTCTGACAACCGTTTACAGGTTATTATTGGCCATCGGCTCGTCTGTTTGACTATCCCCACGAAAAATGATCGCCTCATCTGGTTTCTACTTAGCCTTCACATAAATTACCAGGCTCGTAAATTATGGCTATTGGTTTTCGTATGGCCGATCCGAAGCGGCCTTGGAAGTGCAAGGAAATGAGTCACGTGACCAAAAATAAAAACCAATTCCTTCCATTCGTTTCCCATTTCGACGTTTTAGGGAGCTCATCGGATCCTTTGTAAAGGCAAGGTATTTTTCATTAAGGGGCTCCAAAAACCCCCGTCAAGAAAGGAATTTAAATACGAACTCGTTAAGGTGATGTGAAACACGTAGAGGAACTTGATCGACGTCGATAAAGAAGCTTTTTCTAAATGCCTACGTTGACGACGTTGGTTTTCATATTGACAGCTGGGTCGAATTATATTGGGTATTGTACCAAATGGCATACTCCACCTGTTGTTTTTTTACAATAATTATAAAGAAATCGAAGTAAAACTTCAATTTAACAAAGGAAACGCGGACTTGTTCGTATATGAATGAGAAAAGGTGGAGGCTCGGTGGAGGAACTTGATCGACGTCGATAAAGAAGATTTTTCTAAATGCCTACGTTGACGACGTTGGTTTTTATTTTGACAACTGCGTCGAATTATATTGGGTATTGTACCAAATGGCATACTCCACCTGTCGTTTTTTTACAATAATTATAAAGAAATCGAAATAAAACTTCATTTTAACAAAGGAAACGCGGACTTGCTCGTATATCAATGAGAGAAGGTGGAGGCTCGCTATCACGTGGGCGAGGAGTCGTTTCTCGACTTCCGACCCTCGGTTGACAGTTTCGATAGGTCGAACATCGAATGCGAGGGGACTTAGTGTTTATCGACGCGTCCATCGGTCGCCTTATCTTCCTCTCGCTTTTTACTTATCATCACCTCGGGCCCTTCCGAACGGACAGTCGCTTGACGAAGCGCAGAGATCGCGTGCTCCAATTAATTAGGCCACAGCCAAATGATTTCTCAGAGTAAATCACGGATCAAGAGGATGAATCGAAAGGGATTTTTCAAAGTGGAGGGAAAGAATCGCACTTTCGGCCATCTTATTCAATTATCGGGGGATTTTTTTCGCGTCAGGCATATGTGCCCATAATTATGAAAGTGGTCTAAGTCATATATTTTTTGTTTCGAAATTACATTGAATTAATTTCATTTGAAATAATGTGGCGTGAAATAACTGATACTCATTTTTCTTTCAATTTTGACTTAGACCACTTTCATAATTATGGGCACATATCCCTGAATTATTTTCCAATCGTCATTGCACGTCGCGCGTTATGTATTCTATATCTGGAAAAAGGAAATAATCGCGCACGGTGTTGAAATTTATTTTAAGATACGGATGAAAGTATCTTTCGTTTAATCCTGAGTAATGGAAGCATCCAAGATGGCCGTCGCGTCTCGAGTTCGTTTTCGAGATCGCCGTGCCCTCGTTTGTATATTTAAATTCAACCCTAAACGTTCTACCAGTCGACGATCGCGGCGACAGTACTTTATTATTCTTTCGTGGAAACTGGCCAAAGCGGACTTATGGTTTCCGCTTGCGGAAAGGTGCATCCGTCCGTTGCAGTTGCAACAAGGTGATTTTCCTGGAAGCTGGCCAGCGGATTGGCGGATGCAAAAACGAAAAGCAAAGTCCCCCGCATCGATCGTAGAAAGCTTTAAGGTGAAGTGAAACACCCTTCAAATCAGTCGATTCGAATGCAACACTTTTTTTTAAGGGTATTAGACCAAACTGTCCGAAACTTTGACACATCTAAGAATTGTCCTGACACATTGAAAATTTGGATTTTTTAAGAAAATTTCAAAAACACCCTTCAAATCAGTCGATTCGAATGCAACACTTTTTTTTTAAGGGTATTAGACCAAAATGTCCGAAACTTTGACACATCTAAGAATTGTCCTGACACATTCAAAATTTGGATTTTTTAAGAAAATTTCAAAAACACCCTTCAAATCAGTCGATTCGAATGCAACACTTTTTTTTAAGGGTATTAGACCAAATGTGCGAAACTTTGACACATCTAAGAATTGTCCTGACACATTCAAAATTTGGATTTTCACCTTAAGGTGAAGTGAAACACGTCGAGGAACTTGATCGACGTCGATAGAGAAGATTTTTCTAAATGCCTACGTTGCCGACGTTGGTTTTTATATTGACAGCTGGGTCGAATTATATTGTGTATTGTACCAAATGGCATATTCCACCTGTCGTTTTCGTACAATAAATATCAAGAAATCGATGTAAAACTCCAGAAATCCTCTGGATTCATGCTTTTTGGAGGCCTAATTGACTGCAGAGGGACACCCTGCGCCATCTGTGATTTCCAGGTCAATTAAATTTTCACTCCGAGACCTCGTATTACCATCGTTTTGGCATAGAAGCGCATACAACACTTTTTTTGCCTTTATCCCGTTCAAATGCGAGTTTATCGATTACCAGAGTGTTCTAAATTGTCGTAAAATTGTCCTGACCCTTTCGATTCTCATATCAGAGCCTTCGATAATTGTATGTCGATCGAAATATGAGAGTTCGACGCCATTTTGGTTCTGGTCTGGACGAAGTTAAAAGATTTTTTGGAAAAATCAAAAATTTGAATGTGTCAGGACAATTCTTAGACAATCAGGAGTGACGTGTCAAAGTTTCGGACAGTTTGGTCTAGCACCATTAAAAAAAAGTGTTGCATTCGAATCGACTGATTTGAAGGGTGTTTTTGAAATTAAAAAAAAAAAATCCAAATTTTGAATGTGTCAGGACAATTCTTAGATGATTCAAAGTTTCGGACAGTTTGGTCTAATACCCATAAAAAAAAGTGTTGCATTCGAATCGACTGATTTGAAGGGTGTTTCACTTCACCTTAAGGGGGGACGAAAGTGCCCGAGAGGTCAGATTTGCGAAATTTCTCATAGAATCGTTTGCGACTTTCTCCGCTCCTCGTCGAAGCGGTTAAAGATGAAGCCGATTACCGACTCGCCGCGAAATGCCAAGAGAAATTAAACGGAGATAATCAGTCGGCGATGTCCTTGCGTAGAAAAAAAGTTTCTAGGAGAGGGGAAGGACTAAAAGCGAAAGAAAGAAAAAGAAAAAAACGATCGCGGCCTCCTCTCGCGATTGGATTTGCATAATTACGACCGTTCCGTGATGCGATTCGGTCGTTCCATCCATGTAACACCGCCATGACCGTCGACAAGGACGGAGAATCCTTTCGTCCTTCCCACCTTAACCTAACCTAACCTAACCTAACCTATTCCAAGTTTCGAAGAATCAGTCGGCAAGGATCAAAGCACTCGCGGAACACATTTTATCCAGGATATCGCATCGATTTGCAAATGCAACGTCGGGTTCTTTAGAGACAAGATTTAAGGTGATATGACAGGCTTAAGGCGATATGAAAGTCTCGTTTTTTAAGCTTTTCTCTGAACTTTGACGCCACTTTCACGTCGCCTTAAGAAACAGACATGAAACTTGAATTACCATAGAGACAAGACTTAAGGCGATATGAAAATCCCGTGAAAAAGTCTCGTTTTTTAAGCTTTTCTCTGAACTTTTACTCCACTTTTACGTCGCCTTAAGAAAGAGACAAGCTTAAGGCGATATGAAAGTCCCGTGAAGAAGTCTCGTTTTTTAAGCTTTTCTCTGAACTTTGACGCCACTTTCACGTCGCCTTAAGAAACAGACATGAAACTTGAATTACCATAGAGACAAAACTTAAGGTGATATGAACAAACTTAAGGCGATATGAAAGTCCCGTGAAAAAGTCTCTTTTATTAAGCTTTTTTCTGAACTTTGACGCCACTTTCACGTCGCCTTAAGAAAGAGAAATGAAACTTGAATTACCATAGAGACAAGACTTAAGGCGATATGAAAGTCCCATGAAAAAGTCTCGTTTATTAAGCTTTTCTCTGAACTTTGACGCCACTTTCACGTCGCCTTAAGAAAGAGAAATGAAACTTGAATTACCATTCCGTGACAAAGACTGACGGTGACGACAGAGGATGGATCTCCCTCGACGTATCCATTGTAGAAACAGCCAAGTTGATGTCCTAAATGTTCCCTTCTCGTAGAATTCTCGGTGATGTGTGTCAACTGTAAAACAAAGAGGAAACGGGAAATTATTAAGGATTATTAAGACGATGCGAAAGTGGAACAAATAGGTCCAGTTTATCAAACTTTTCTTCTAGCAAGATGTACCGAGTCGTGTCAAACTTAACAACGTTATCACAGAGGGTACAAGTCTTTGTCTTGGCAGTAATGAGACTTCATGGATGCCAAGTCTCCATATTCATATCGCAAAGTTTGAAACAAGTCGGTACACCCAATTAGAAGAAAAGTTTCATAAACGAGATATTTCGCATCACCTCAAAAGATGAGACTTGCGCTCCCCTGATAACGAAAAATATTAATTGTAAATTTATGTACAGAGGAAATTTCCCGTTTCAAGTCTTAAATCTCGACGTAACGCATAAACGACTATCTCGGCACTAAACCGGCGGTAAAAACGATTTCCCATAAAGTCCGTCATACATCTGCAAATGAAATGCACAGTTACGCGATCTCCCCGGGCAAATCGAAATTGAATGTCTCTTATCGTCCCGATAACGCGATCGATCATCAAGTTGACGCTCGATATTCCCGTTCGTCTGCAATTAACGGGCATTATAACTCAACGAGGGCATTAACGATCAAGCGATTAACGAGCTATCAGTTTTTAACTGCACCGCGCGAGTAATGTGCATTCCGTCTGTCAGGATGCATTCGCACCCGATAAGAGCTTTCAATCACCGGAGGGTTTAATCAGGCCTTAACGAATTAATTAACATTCGAGTTTCGCGCGTTCTTTACAGAGGACTGGTTTAGTAATATGTTTCGTCACCGAGGAAGTTCTTGACAGTGATAAGGAGAAGTGACGACGAAGTTCTAGGATCAACCTCGACCATGGTTGGGAATTAAGGTGTAAATCCTATCTAAGGTTTTAAAAATTTAAAAATTGATAAGGAGAAGTGACGACGAAGTTCTACCTAGGATCAACCTCGACCATGGTTGGGAATTAAGGCGTAAATCCTATCTAAGGTTTTAAAAATTTAAAAATTGATAACATTGATAAGGAGAAATGACGACGAAGTTCTACCTAGGATCAACCTCGACCATGNAAAACGCCATATTAATTTTTTATTTTAATCTGGAAGACCTGAAAATGGCGGCCAAGGTGTTAAAGTGAAATGAAACACGTCGAGGAACTTGATTAACGTCGATAATTAAAATATTGACAGCTGGGTCGAATTATATTGTGTATTGTACAAAATGGCATATTCCACCTGTCGTTTTTGTACAATAATTATAAAGATATTGATAAAAAATTGATAAGCAGAAGTGACGAAGTTCTACCTAGGATCAACCTCGACCATGGCTGGGAATTAATATGTAAATCCTATCTAAGGTTTTAAAAATTAAAAAATTGATAATATTGATAAAAAATTGATAAGCAGAAGTGACGAAGTTCTACCTAGGATCAACGTCGACCATGGCTGGGAATTAAGGTGTAAATCCTATCTAAAATTTAAAAATATTAAAAAATTGATAATACATGGACGCGAATCCCATAGATCGATCGCGCGGTATTAATCACGACAAGGATAGAGGATATCCCCAATAATCGATTAATTTCTTCTCGACGTTGTGCCAAGCTCAAAATGGCGGCCGGTTCATCATCGATCCCGAATAGATCCTCACCTTGATATCAGGTGATACGAAACTCGAGTCGTGAGCCAATCGCAGTCGAAACCTCTTTCCAAAAGCCGTGAACTCGTATTGTGGATGTGGATCCCAGACTTCTGCATTTGCATGTCGAAAGTGGCCACTGTGGTGTCTTTTAGCGGTGCTGGTTCCCAAGGCTAGAAAAAGGAAAAAGAAAAAAAAAAAAACCAAACGGCATAAATATTTATTAACTTGCGGGTCATTCCGGCTCGTGGTTATTTAAGGAGTTATCGGCAGTGATAAAAAAACCTTGTATAATTCTCGGGACCCAACCTTTGGTTTTTTTATTCCTAGGAAATTAAATCCGCGCGTTGGAATTGAAACTTATAATTTAAAGGGGATTGTTATAGCAGCGCGTGGAGTCGTTGCACCTAGGTGCATCGGGAAATTACTCGTTAGCGGGATATCGGTACCCAGGACAGGTAAGTGCACATAGGGACGTAGGAGGCACCTGGGGGAGCCGATCGGACTTTTCTCCTCTCCTGGGATTCTCCTCTACGTGCACACGAGGAGTGACGAAGTAAGTCTCGACAATTCCCTCCTCGGAATGCAACGTCGACGTGCATTCGGAATGACGCTCGCCTAATTGCGACCATTTGAATTTCTGTCGCACCTGACACGTCCTGCGATATGCCGAGGGGCTTTGCGCGCTGCGAGCGTTCTACTCCGCTCGAGGCTCTTATCAGCGAGTGGAGGAATTATTGGAAAAATTTTCTTCCCTCGATTTTTCCATCCACTCGATTGCTCAAAATGGTGACAGTTTTTAAAAGGAAAAGAGAAGAAGAGTTGATCTGTCCTGCGATATGTCGAGGGGCTTTGCGCGTTGCGAGCGTTCTACGCCGCTCGAGGCTCTTATCAGCGAGTGGAGGAATTATTGGAAAAATTTTCTTCCCTCGATTTTTCCATCTACTCGATTGCTCAAAATCTTGACAGTTTTTAAAAGGAAAAGAGAAGAAGAGTTGGTCTGTCCTGCGATATGTCGAGGGGCTTTGCGCGCTGCGAGCGTTCTACGCCGCTCGAGGCTCTTATCAGCGAGTGGAGGAATTATTCGAAAGATTTTTTTCCATCTACTCGATTGCTCAAAATCTTGACAGTTTTTAAAGGGAAAAGAGAAGAAGGGTTGATCTGTCCTGCGATATGTCGAGGGGCTTTGCGCGCTGCGAGCGTTCTACGCCGCTCGAGGCTCTTATCAGAGAGTGGAGGAATTATTCGAATGATTTTCTTCCCTCGATTTTTCCATCTACTCGATTGCTCAAAATGGTGACAATTTTTAAAGGGAAAAGAGAAGAAGAGTTGGTCTGTCCTGCGATATGTCGAGGGGCTTTGCGCGCTGCGAGCGTTCTACGCCGCTCGAGGCTCTTATCAGCGAGTGGAGGAATTATTCGAAAGATTTTCTTCCCTCGATTTTTCCATCCACTCGATTGCTCAAAATGGTGACAATTTTGAACCCTTTCGTTACCTTGGACGAGATATCTCGCGACCCAATACTGGCCGATTAACGCTTTTGACGAGATATCTCGCAACCCGGTAGTCGCTTTATGCGTAACACCATGTTTTCAATTATACCACGTAGAAAGTAAATAAAAATAATTTCATTAAATTAATAAAAACTGTATTTATTTCTTCCTTTTAGCTATACGAATAGAATTAGTTATAAAATATATTCATCTAGAATGTCAAAATATTGGTGCTAGAAAGCTAGATTATCGTCAAAAGCGTTAATCCGCTACTACCGGATCGCGAGATATCTCGTCAAAAGCGTTGATCGGCCAGTATAGGGTCGCGAGATATCTCGTCCAAGGTAACGAAAGGGTTAAAGGAAAAAGAGATGAAGAGTTGGTCTGTACTCACGAGGATCCTCGTACTGATTCTGACTGATCTTAAGAGGCCGGATGTATTCCATGTCGCCTCTGACCGAGGTCGGAGGATTTCTCTTCCCGTCCATCGTGGGACCACGGTGATCCCTGACCTCGCCCTTGGTCGCTCCTCCCGGAAGGACTGCAACAGCAAAAATGGAATTCCTTCGATCATCCAAATCGTTGCGGGAATTGCAGTCGTGATCGAGGATTCCCCAGGACTCCTCTGGTAGTTTGTACTTTAAGGTGAAGTGAAACACCTCGAGAAACTTGATCGAGATCATTCTTAGATGATCAGGAGTGACGTGTCAAAGGTTCGGACAGTTTTGTCTAATATCCTTAAAAAAAAGTGTTGTATTCAAATCGACTAATTTGATTAGTTAAACAATTTTTTCAAAAAATCCAAATTTTCAATGTGTCAGGACAATTCTTAGATGATCAGGAGTGACGTGTCAAAGTTTCGGACAGTTTGGTCTAATACCCTTAAAAAAAAGTGTTGTATTCGAATCGACTGATTTGAAGGGGGTTTCACTTCACCTTAAGGCGGCCGCACACGTAAAGATGAATCTCTTCAAACCGATGTGTACATATTACACATGTAACAATTTAATTGCTCGAATTGCAAATCTTTACGATTCATCGTTACGTATGTCCTACCTTTAACCATGAAACGGAAAAGAATTGCACTCGTTACAACACCATAGGACCTTTCTCGCATTTACGACGTTACCTCGACGGGATAATTCGTAATGTCTAGACAAGCACCGAGCTCGGTAATTATAAGCATTACGGTGTAGCACGTAAAAATTAGCATTTCACAATAAAACGGGAATTAGCACTTCATTCGAGAACGTACTTGCAATCGTAAACGCTCACTTACGGCATTGACCAGGTAATAAAATGTTTTAATAATTGCAGTCTTGGGAGGTAAAACATTTTTAATTTCTTTCCAGCTCAAATCGTCGCGTGGAATGTTTCTGCAATTGCCCTGCCCAGTCCTTATTGTTAAACAATAAGATGATCGTAAAAATTCTTACGGGTCAACGTTGGGTTCCATTTACGGTAACAATAAAAATTGGCCAAGGAGTATTTCCTTCTAGATAAAACGCCATATTAATTTTTTATTTTAATCTGGAAGACCTGAAAATGGCGGCCAAGGTGTTAAAGTGAAATGAAACACGTCGAGGAACTTGATTAACGTCGATAATTAAAATATTGACAGCTGGGTCGAATTATATTGTGTATTGTACAAAATGGCATATTCCACCTGTCGTTTTTGTACAATAATTATAAAGAAATCGAAGTAAAACTCCAGAAATCCTCTGGATTCGTGATTTCTGAGGCCCTAATTGACTGCAGAGGGACCCCCTGCGCCATCTGTGATTTCCAGGTCAATTAAATTTTTGACTCCGAGACCTCGTATTCCCATCGTTTTGGCATAGAAGCGCATACAACACTTTTTTTGCCTTTATCCCGTTCAAATTCGAATTTATCGATTACCAGAGTGTTCTACATTGTCGTAAAATTGTCCTGACCCTTTCGATTCTCATATCAGAGCCTAAAAAATTAAAAAAAAAAAAATCAAAATTTTGAATGTGTCAGGACAATTCTTAGACGATCAGGAGTGACGTGTCAAAGTTTCGGACATTTTGGTCTAATACCCTTAAAAAAAAGTGTTTTATTAGAATCGACTGATTTGAAGGATGTTCCACTTCACCTTAAGTATGGGAAATGGCTTTCCTATTTCCTATTTACGGAGTCACTTTAAGGATCCGCTTAGGGTAAAACCGCCCTAAGATAGGTACGTGGCGAAGAGGCACCTAACGAGCTCGTTATATTATAATGGCGGACGGCAGCAAGGATAAACCTGAATTAAGTATAGGCGAGTCTAATCGCCGGGAACGTCTTCATCCCTCGGGTAATACGAGGTGAAGATTGCCCACTCGCCTTAATCGCTCTTCGCCGAGGCATCCTCACCTCGAGAGCTAGAAGGACGAAGAAGAAGAAGAGTCCTTTCTTCCCCGGAGAGTGGATAAACGCCGACAAGGATTCTAGCTTCCCTCCTGCGGGAGGAAGATCCACCTTTCATGGGGAAATTATAGGGGAAATGTGATTTCCTGGCGATTTTCTCCCAGGGAACAGGAAAAGAAACGTGCCCTTAGGTTCATATACCAGTGAACCCTGAAATGCAGGGTGGAGGCGCGAATTTGTAGCTGTGGATTTTCTAAGAGCTTTTAAGTCAAACCAAGTTCGAGGCTTTCAACGTCTTCCCGAAAGTGATGTTAAAAGCTCATAAAACCTCGATTTGGATTTGATGAAGCACTTTATCCGTTAAAGAAACGTGCCCTTAGGTTCATATACCAGTGAACCCTGAAATGCAGGGTGGAGGCGCGAATTTGTAGCTGTGGATTTTCTAAGAGCTTTTAAGTCAAACCAAGTTCGAGGCTTTCAACGTCTTCCCGAAAGTGATGTTAAAAGCTCATAAAACCTCGATTTGGATTTGATGAAGCACTTTATCCGTTAAAGAAACGTGCCCTTAGGTTCATATACCAGTGAACCCTGAAATGCAGGGTGGAGGCGCGAATGTGTAGCTGTGGATTTTCCAAGAGCTTTTAAGTTAAACCAAGTTCGAGGCTTTCAACGTCTTCCCGAAAGTGATGTTGAAAGCTCATAAAACCTCGATTTGGATTTGATGAAGCACTTTATCCAAGAAAGAAANCATGGCGCTTCGATTTTTTTTCCAGGGAATCGATTGCTTTTTTTATCGATCCTGGATTTGTGGGTTGCTGATGATACGATCCAGCCGCATCTCATTAAAAATGACGTTCCCACCAAAAAGGGTATGGATGAATTTTAATTTATTATTCTGAGTCTTTCGTGTCATCTTAAAGAGTCTAGGACAATTCGATCAAGTCCATGACTTTCATGGCATAAACCCGGGTTTATATGCTCGGTTAAGTTAAATTGGTCATGGCGCTTCGATTTTTTTTCCAGGGAATCGATTGCTTTTTTTATCGATCCTGGATTTGTGGGTTGCTGATGATACGATCCAGCCGCATCTCATTAAAAATGACGTTCCCACCAAAAAGGGTATGGATGAATTTTAATTTATTATTCTGAGTCTTTCGTGTCATCTTAAAGAGTCTAGGACAATTCGATCAAGTCCATGACTTTCATGGCATAAACCCGGGTTTACAGGCTCGGTTAAGTTAAATTGGTCATGGCGCTTCGATTTTTTTTCCAGGGAATCGATTGCTTTTTTTATCGATCCTGGATTTGTGGGTTGCTGATGATACGATCCAGCCGCATCTCATTAAAAATGACGTTCCCACCAAAAAGGGTATGGATGAATTTTAATTTATTATTCTCAGTCTTTCGTCTCATCTTAAAGAGTCTCGGACGATTCCGATGACTTTCCGAGGCATAAGCCCGGCTTTATAGGCTCGGTTAAGTTAAATTGGTCGTGGCGCTTCGAAGGATAAACTGTTGCATGGAGTGCAGCCTATAAATAATCGATGGAGCCAATTGGTTCGATGCACTTCTCTCATCGAAGCCTAACTCGGGCCTCAACCTCTGCTTCGTCGCCCGGGGCTAAATCCTGTCAACCGGGGAATTTACTGTGATCGAACACCCTGGACTTCCGATTCGGCCCTTTGCCACAAAGAAAAACGATCGTATCGATCGAGTCGAATCAATCGAATGAGTTAATCGATCTCAAAAACGCTCTTTCGTGTCTTTAAGGTGACACCGCGCGTTGCATCTTGGAGAAAGAAAATCGTTAAATGAGTAAAAAAAAATACAGTCTCGACATCGAGTACCGGCAATGCACATTAATTGCATCTGCATTTCGTGGAGGATCCGACTCGGCAACCCGATGATAAAATCAAGAGGAAGTTAATCGTCTTGTAAATGTCGTGACAGGGCTGTCAAAATGTAGCGATAAAGCTCTCTCCTCGTGATAAGAAACTGCACCGACAATCTACATCCATCTAGGGCAATCAGAGGCTTAAATGACGCATTCGATGCTACGGTTCGATGAACCTTCGTTAATCGGTTTAATGAAGATGTAATTATAAGTCGCAGGAATGCAGATTCTTTTTTCTTACGAGTATGTATACGATGACCCGATGATTAAACCGGACAACCAAGAAGTACTCGACATTGACGGTAAGAAAAGAAAATTAATTAACATCAGTGCCGACATGAAATGTCTTACTAATTAATTCTGAAAGTCCCGGCCTTTTTATAAGAGACATTTTAAGCGGTATCGTAACAGAGCATTGAAAGTTAGTAATTTTTTTAAATGGATCGTTCGCGTTTTTTTTTCTACGTTTAAGTCAACTTTTTCCTCGTTTAACTCGGGTTAAATTAATTCCCTTGTCGGGAATCTCTGAGTCATTTTATGTCTAGGTCACGAATCACAAGTCGTTCCTGTAATCGAACTTTTTTGAGATAATTCGATGAATTTTAATTTATCGACATTGATAATTAAATTTCTCAGCGCCTTTCATATGTGCCCATAATTATGAAAGTGGTCTAAGTCATATATTTTTCGTTTCGAAATTACATTGAATTAATTTAGTTTGAAATAATGTGGCGTGAAATAACTGATAAGTTCATTTTTTTTTTTCAATTTCGACTTAGACCACTTTCATAATTACGGGCACATATCACCTTAACTCTCTATGTGCCCGTGTAACTTTCAGGTCACATTTTAAATGAAACATTTTTTTTTTTTCATTTGCATATATGCCCATAATTATGAAAGTGGTCTAAGTCATATATTTTTGTTTCGAAATTACATTGAATTAATTTAGTTTGAAATAATGTGGTGTGAAATAACCGATAAACTCATTTTTTTTTTAATTTCGACTTAGACCACTTTCATAATTACGGGCACATATATAGGTTCCTAATTACTGATTTTTCGTTCCCCCAATTTTTTTTTTATTTAATGAAAAATTCGGCCCATAGAGGGTTAAGTTTCCATTGAAACTTTTCCATTACCTGAAATAATCTCTCTCATTTATGCTGTCCTCATAGTCAGATCAGGGTTCATACATCCCACGTATGTGGTTATCAAGAGTGGAGTTCCATTTACAGGTCGCCGCGTAAGTCGCGAGTTACGAGTCACGCATGGCGAGTCGCGAAGTACATAAACGCTCGTTAAAAGTCCCGCCAT